ATTGACTGTATCATTGTCAGAGAAAGAGATCACCGAGATGTCCTCATCACCCGTGCCATACGTGGCTCAGACCACTGTGACACTGATCATCGGCTTGTCAGAGCCAAGCTCTCACTTCACGTCGCCCAAAACGGCGAAAGCAGCAAGCCTCCAGAAGAGATTTTAACACTGGAGGATGCAGCGGTAGCATATGCTTTCAGAGAGCAGCTCGATCATGGGCTGATAAACAATCCAGCAGCAAACAACGTGAATCCAAGTGCCGAATGGGATATTCTTGACACTGTCATGACAAAAACGAGACCCTTGGCCAGATCGAAAGAGTACACCATGACTGGTTTGATGAAAATGACCCGACAATCAATGTACTCATCGATGATAAACGTGCTGCTTTTACTGACTGGCAGAACAAACCTTAGACTCGGACCAAAGCTGATACCTTCCGCAAGAAGAAAGCGGCGGCCCAGCGGGAACTTCGCAATCTAAAGAACGACTGGTTTAAAAATAAAGCATGTGAAGTACAAATAATTGCAGATCAGCACAAGATGCGCGAATTTTTCAATTCCACTAAAACATTTTATGGGCAAATCACTCGTGGCGCAGTCCCCCTCCGCTCATCTGACGGTAACTTCATAATTAAAAACGATGAAGGCCTCCTTCAGGGCTGGAAAGAGCACTACCATTCTCTGCTCAACCAAAACACTGATGTGGATATCCTGACTACCCAGCAGGTCCCTCAGCATCCAGAGCTGACACATCTTAGCTATCCTCCATCCCTGGATAAGGTAGCTACTGCCATCAAACAGATGAAAAATAACAAAGCCTCAGGGCCTGATGGAATCCCAGCCGAGGTGCATAAAGCAGAAGGACCTCTGCTTACCAGCCGTCTCCGCTCTCTCCTGTAGAATATAAGGGAAAAGGATGAAATCCCCAAGCTCTTGAAGATGCCTCCATTGTAAATGTTTATAAGAACAAGGGAGACCGGTCAGACTGAGGCAACTACCGTGGGATCTCGTTGCTCTTCGTGGCCGACAAGATTATCGCCCGAGTCCTCCTAAACAGACGTCTTCGTGAGGCGGAAAACTTCCTCCTAGAATCTCAATGTGGCTTTAGACCATCACGTGGCACCACTGACATGATCTTTGGTGCCCGCCAGATACAGGAAAAGTGCAGAAAACAGCGTCGTGACCTGTACATGGCTTTCATTGACCTAACCAAGGCCTTCAATTCGGTCAACAGGGAAGCCCTCTGGTGGACCCTCAGCCGTTTGGCTGCCCACCAAAATTCATCGCCATTGTGAGGCAATTCTATTATGGCATGAACGGCAGTGTCCTGTACTATGGCACCCAGTCTGAATTCTTCCCCATCCAGACAGGGGCTAAACAAGGGTGTGTACTGGCACCAAATCTCTTCCATTTTTTTGGCTGCCTTCCTTACTCGTGCCAGTGCCAATTTAGCCAACGGAGTGAACATCGAGTACCGGGTGAAGGGTCTTTTCAACATAAGACGACTCCAGGCAAGAACAAAGGTGTCTGCAGCTTCCATTACTGAACTTCAGCATCCAGACGACCTCACCCTTGTTGCTCACACAGAACACGACCTACAGGAGATCCTGAACACCTACGCAGATGCGTATGCACACTTCGGCCTTGAGGTGAATGTACGTAAGACTCGGACTCTCTTTCAGCCTGCCCCTGGCTCAGACACACCTCCACCATCCATCCAACTTAACTGTACTACCCTCTCTAATGTTACCCACTTTCGGTATCTCGACTCCCACCTGTCCACCACCGTAGGACATCGGTGAAGAGATTCAGATTCGGATCAGATGTGCATCTCAAGCCTTTGGCAGACTCTGAAATAGTTTCTTCGGCTGTAGGTAGCTGAAATTATCTACAAAGCTGCACGTATATCGAGCAGTGGTCCTCCCCACCCTGTTATATGGTAGTGAGACATGGGTGACATACAGGAGGCACCTCATGGCACTTGAAAACTTTCACCAACGTAGTCTACGTTCCATCCTCCGAACTCGCAGGGAAGACAAGAGAACAAATGCCAGTATTCATGCTGACACCAACTGTAGGATCATCGAAGCTACCATTATCCACGAACAACTACGCTGGACTGGCCATGTTACCCGCATGGACGACAGTAGACTGCCAAAGCAGCTACTTTACAGTCACCTAACGAATAATAAACGTAACGCTGGCGGGCAATTGAAAAGGTATAAGGATAGTCTAAAAGACTAACCTGAAAAAGTGTCAAATCGACCTCCCTCACCTGGGAGTCGATTACTCCACATCGTAACGTTTGGAGGAGAACCACACGAGAAGGTGTCAATGCTTTCGAGTTAACCCGACTGCAAACCGAGGCAGACAAGCGCCAACGTCGGAAAGACACTGCCGCCGCCCCTCCTGCACTAGATGCAGCCCACCACATGTGCAACATCTGCGAACGATCCTGCCGGTCCCGTATCGGCCTCTTTAGTTACCTCAAAACTCACCAATGAAAGTGACATCCTTAATAACTCATATCATTGTATCATAGCTGGATGATCGTGACAGCAAAGTAGTAGTAGTAGTAGTAGTAGTAGTATATACAGTAGCTTTACACGATATATTATAAATGTTCACATGATATATTATATAGTATAACACCATAAAGTGACGTGTGGTTGTTAGCTGCTGTATATTATCTTGAAGGACAAGTTAATTACGTTATCTGGTGTATATTAATTTTCCTGTAATTGTACCCACCCACTGCCACCCAATGCCACCCATTACCCGCCGCTGCCACCCATTACCCGCCCGCTGCCATTACCCATTACCCGCCACTGCCACCCATTACCAGCCCACTGTCACCCATTACCCGCCAACTGCCACCCATTACCCGCCCACTGTCACCCATTACCCGCCAACTGCCACCCATTACCCGCCCACTATCACCCATTACTCGCCCACGGTCACCCATTACCCGCCCACGGTCACTCATTACCCGCCAACTGCCACCCATTACCCGCCCACGCTCACCCATTACCCGCCCACGGTCACCCATTACCCACCCACTGCCACCCATTGCAGCCCACTGGACAACCAATCATCATCCACTACCAACCATTCCATCTACTCCACCCTCCCACCCACCACCCACCCATCATCATACCACCCATCCACCCACTTTCATAACCTCCCACCAGGCCATCCAAGCGTCCTCCCGCCCATTCATCTCCGCCCCCACCCACCCACCCACCCACCCACCAGACAGCCAGCTCGGCATCTCCCCGGCGTTGTGTTTTGCATTTTAATATCCGGGTGGGCGTGTGTGGGCGGGCGAGGCGGAGGTGATGACGCACAACCGAGACACAGCAGGGCCACCCACCACCACCACCACCCACCACCTCCACTCATCCACCCACCGAACCCACACCACCACCACTCATCACCACCACACCACCCACTCACCACCACCACCACTCACACCACCTACCTCCACATCACCAACACCCACCCACACAACCTCCACCAACACCCACTTACCCACCACACCTCCATCCACCCATCCTCACACCTCAACCCACCCACACACCTCCATCCACCCATCCTCACATCAACCACCTCAATCCACACCCACACACCTCCATCCACCCATCCTCACACCTTAATCCACCCATCCACACACCTCCATCCACACACCTGCACCTAACCAACATTTAGCACCGTTGCCATCACCCATCCTTCCACACCCACATACCCACTTTTAAGTATGTGAATATATGGATAGACTTTTAAGGTAAATAATATGACGTATTTAAGACATTCATATTTCTTTCAATTCAGCAAAGTTGTTTGGATGTACAGTATGTAAGTATGTCTGTCTGTAGGTGTGTGTGTGTGTGTGTGTGTGTGTGTGTGTGTGTGTGTGTGTGTGTGTGTGTGTGTGTGTAATAATAATAATTAAAATAATAATAAACGGTTTATTAATAGAGTTGCAGCCGGTGGCTGAAAATATACAAACTTACATTTGATTTAGACAACATGATATGCGTTGAATACATTTACAGGGCTGTACAGTACATAAATCAGGAGTTGTTTATTATTTTAACAATAGATGGGATGGTGCTGTTCTTATATCTATCGGTGCGGGCTCTTATGGGCTGAATTTTGTTGTAGTGACGGACTGCGCGAGGTGGGTGGGGGACTGCTTGTGGCAGGAGGTGGCGATGACGAGGGTGGTGCAGTAGTCCACTGCCAAACCTTGCTAGTGCTTGGTGGTGGAAGTCACTGAGGGATGACATTTCCAGGGAGGAGAGAGCGTTGGTGTAGCCGGAGTAGTCTGCGCCGAGCATGATTCTGCAGGCCCTTGTCTGTACCTCCTCTAGCTGACGTTCTTGGTTGGAGTTGAGAGAAGTAGTGTGCCTATATGGGCAAGTTTCTTTACGCCATTTGCCTCTGTCTACCCAGCAGTAATTGGGGACCTGGATGTTAATCGATTTGTGCAGTTGGCGAGTTGTCCGGTCTTCTCGGACTATTCCTTGACACTGGGTCATGCAGCTCGTTAACTTAGGGTGTGGTTGTTGTGTTGGTGACAACTTCTACACCTTAAACAAATTCACGCCTAGGTGGCCCTTGGGCCGGCCATCCTCGTTACACGAGGGGCAACCATTATGTCTATCGGTCTGTCTATGGGGGAATTTCAGGAGGCGTGGAAGAGCTGCAGGAGGCAGGGGTGAGCATCAAGAGGCGTGGGAGAGCTGCAGGAGGCAGGGGTGAGCATCAAGAGGCGTGGGGTAGCTGCGGGAGGCGGGGGTGAGCATCAATAGGCGTAGGGGAGCTGCAGGAGGCGGGGGTGAGCATCAATAGGCGTGGGGAGCTGCAGGAGGCGTGTGTGAGCATCAATAGGCGTGGGAGAGCTGCGGGAGGCGGGGTGAGCATAATAGGCGGGAGAGCTGCAGGAGGCGGGGTGAGCATCATAGGCGTGGAGAGCTGCGGGAGGTGGGGTGAGCATCAAGAGGCGTGGGAGAGCTGCAAGAGGCAGGGGTGAGCATCAGAGGCGGGAGGGCTGCGGGAGGCGGCGGTGAGCAACAATAGGCGGGGAGCTGCAGGAGGCGGGGTGAGCAACAATAGGCGTGGAGAGCTGCGGGAGGCGGGGGTGAGCATCAAGAGGCGTGGGAGAGCTGCGGGAGGCGGGGTGAGCTGCGGGAGGTGGCGGTGAGCATCAAGAGACGTGGGAGAGCTGCAAGAGGCGGGGGTGAGCATCAAGAGGCGTGGGAGAGCTGCGGAGGCGGCGGTGAGCATCAGTAGGCGGGGGGCTGCAGGAGGCGGGGTGAGCATCAATAGGCGTGGGAGAGCTGCAGGAGGCGGGGTGAGCTGCGGGAGGCGGGGGTGAGCATCAAGAGGCGTGGGAGAGCTGCAAGAGGCGGGGGTGAGCTGCGGGAGGTGGCGGTGAGCATCAAGAGACGTGGGAGAGCTGCAAGAGGCGGGGGTGAGCATCAAGAGGCGTGGAGAGCTGCGGGAGGCGGCGGTGAGCATCAGTAGGCGTTGGAGAGCTGCAGGAGGCGGGGTGAGCATCAAGAGGCGTGGGAGAGCTGCAGGAGGGAGCTGCGGGAGGTGGCGGTGAGCATCAAGAGACGGGAGAGCCGGGAGGCGGCGGTGAGCATCAGTAGGCGTGGGGAGCTGCAGGAGGCGGGGGTGAGCATCATGCGTGGGAGAGCTGCGGGAGGCGGGGTGAGCATGAGCTGCAGGTGAGAGGCATGGGAGACCTACAGGAGGCGGGGTGAGCATCAAGAGGCGTGGGAGAGCGGGAGGCGGCGGTGAGCATCAATAGGCGTGGGGAGCATCAATAGGCGTGGGAGAGCTGCGGGAGGCGGGGGTGAGCATCAAGAGGCGTGGGAGAGCTGCGGGACGCGGGGTGAGCATCAAGAGGCATGGGAGACCTACAGGAGGCGGGGTGAGCATCAAGAGGCGTGGAGAGCTGCGGGAGGCGGCGGTGAGCATCAATAGGCGTGGGAGAGCATCAATAGGCGGGAGAGCTGCGGGAGGCGGGGGTGAGCATCAAGAGGCGTGGGAGAGCTGTAAGAGGCGGGGGTGAGCATCAAGAGGCGGGAGAGAGGACGGGGGTGAGCATCAAGAGGCGTGGGAGAGGTGCAGGAGGCGGAAGTGAGCATGAAGAGGCATGGGAGACCTACAGGAGGCGTGGTGAGCGTCAAGAGGCATGGGGGTGCTGCAAAAGGCGTGGGAAGGTTCCAGGAGGCGTGGGAGAATCGCGGGATGAAATAAGCACAAGGGGCGTAGGAGAAGAGATATATATGTATGTATGACTATATGTGTGTATACGTGTCTCTATATGTGTGAGCGTGTGCATGTCTGTCTGTATGTGTGTGTGTGTGTGTGTCTGGGTCTCTGTCTCGGTATCTGTGTTTACATAATATCAAAGACCAAATATATTCACCAGAGGGCATAATTTTTTTCAAGCCTCATCTTCAGGCATCAGAAACCTCACATAAGATACACTTCAGGGAGTTGGTTCTGAAGGGCCCGAAAAATACACACATATAGACGACAGTTTCAGACCCACGTATATTTTGGTCTCTTGGAAACACGTGAAGGGTAGTCAAGCTGTACTGTATATCTGTATAATTTGAAGGTGAGAGAGGGAGAGAGAGAGAAGGGGATGGAGGGAGGGTGGGCGGGAGAGAGGAGGAAGGGAGGGAGGGACGGACAAAGAAGATGATAGAAAAAAGAGAGAGTAAGTAGTGAGAGAAAGAGGAGAGGTAAAAGATGAGAGTGATCAGGGTGAGAACACACACACACACACACACACACACACACACACACACACACACACACAGAGGCTGGCTTGTTTCTTTAAGAGTGGAGAACTGTGACACGAACCACTGCACCTTTAACTAGTAGCCCACCCACCCACCCACCCACCCACCCACGGCCCTCCAGCCACCCAAGCCACGCTCCCCACCGTATCTCCTCCATTTTTTCTTACCACACATTCATTCATTTCTCTATCTCCATTCTCAACTTAGTCTCCTCCTCCCTCCTCCCTCCTCCATGTATAGTGCTGGTTATGAGTCTATGTATAGGTATGGATACATATGAGGAGTTCTTTCCTCCATGTATTCTTCCATTCCTTTTATTTCTCTCTGTGTTTTAATTCTTCTTACGTTTGAATATGTCTATTCTTATTGCTTATCTCACCGATGTGTAGGTGTAGATACAAGGACAGGTGTAGATACAAGTACAGGTGTAGATACAAGGACAGGTGTAGATACAAGGACAGGTGTAGATACAAGGACAGGTGTAGATACAAGGACAGGTGTAGATACAAGGACAGGTGTAGAAGGACAGGTGTAGATACAAGGACAGATGGATACAAGTACAGGTGTAGACAGTGTAGATACAAGGACAGGTGTAGATACAAGGACAGGTGTAGAACAAGAACAGGTGTAGATACAAGGACAGGTAGATACAAGGACAGGTGGATACAAGAACAGGTGTAGAAGGACAGGTGTAGTACAGACAGGTGTAGATACAAGGACAGGTGTAGATAAAGACAGGAGTACAGGTAGACAAGACAGGGTGTAGATAAAGACAGGTACAAGGAAGTGGATACAAGTACAGGTGTAGATAGTACAGGTGGATACAAGGTGAGGTACAGTGTAGGTACAGGACAGGTGTGAACAAGTACAGGTGATATACAAGTACAGGTGTAGATACAAGTACAGGTGTAGATACAAGTACAGGTGTAGATACAAGTACAGGTGTAGATACAAGTACAGGTGTAGATACAAGTACAGGTGTAGATACAAGTACAGGTGTAGATACAAGTACAGGTGTAGATACAAGGACAGGTGTAGATACAAGGACAGGTGTAGATACAAGTACAGGTGTAGATACAAGTACAGGTGTAGGTACAGGTGTAGATACAAGGACAGATGTAGATACAAGTACAGGTGTAGATACAAGTACAGGTGTAGATACAAGTACAGGTATAGATACAAGTACAGGTGTAGATACAAGTACAGGTGTAGATACAAGGACAGGTGTAGATACAAGTACAGGTGTAGATACAAGTACAGGTGTAGATACAAGGACAGATGTAGATACAAATACAGGTGTAGATACAAGTACAGGTGTAGATACAAGTACAGGTGTAGATACAAGGACAGGTGTAGATACAAAGACAGGTGTAGATACAAGTACAGGTGTAGATACAAGGACAGATGTAGATACAAGTACAGGTGTAGATACAAGGACAGGTGTAGATACAAAGACAGGTGTAGATACAAAGACAGGTGTAGATACAAGGACAGGTGTAGATACAAGTACAGGTGTAGATACAAGTACAGGTGTAGATACAAGGACAGATGTAGATACAAGTACAGGTGTAGATACAAGTACAGGTGTAGATACAAGTACAGGTGTAGATACAAGGACAGGTGTAGATACAAAGACAGGTGTAGATACAAGTACAGGTGTAGATACAAGGACAGATGTAGATACAAGTACAGGTGTAGATACAAGGACAGGTGTAGATACAAAGACAGGTGTAGATACAAAGACAGGTGTAGATACAAGGACAGGTGTAGATACAGGTGTAGTACAGGTGTAGATACAAGTACAGGTGTAGATACAAGTACAGGTGTAGATACAAGTACAGGTGTAGATACAAGTACAGGTGTAGATACAAGTACAGGTGTAGATACAAGTACAGGTGTAGATACAAGTACAGGTGTAGATACAAATAAAGGTGTAGATACAAGGACAGGTGTAGATACAAGGACAGGTGTAGATACAAGTACAGGTGTAGATACAAGGACAGGTGTAGATACAAGGACAGGTGTAGATACAAGTACAGGTGTAGATACAAGTACAGGTGTAGATACAAATACAGGTGTAGATACAAGGACAGGTGTAGATACAAGTACAGGTGTAGATACAAGTACAGGTGTAGATACAAGTACAGGTGTAGATACAAGTACAGGTTAATATTTCGTGTTTTTTTTCCTTCCTGTTTCGTTGCCTCAAAGTATCAATACACTAACATAAGATGAAGGAAATGGTGATTGTGACCGAATTTTTATTGATTGTTTTAAAATTGTCCATAACTGAGAGATTAAAGCGAGTAAGAAGAAAGGAGATAGACAGAGAGACAGGTAAAGAAATAGGTAGATAAAGAGAGAGCGAAAGAGGGAGAGGGAGGCAGATAAATGGAAATAAAAACAAAGACAAAGAGAAAAGAGGGAAAAGAGAGAGCGAGAGAAAGAGAGAGGAGAGGAGAGAAAAACCGGTAGACAGATCGATACACAATGACAGAATGAGAGAGAGAGAGAGAGAGAGAGAGAGAGAGAGAGAGAGAGAGCACACTGACCTTTCAACAGAGACAAAGAGAGAGAGAGAGAACACAGGACACCCTTGCTATATTACAAGAGGAGAGAGAGAGAGAGAGAGAGAGAGAGAGAGAGAGAGACCTCCGTACAAGAAGAGTCTCACTGATATAGACTTAAATTGATAGAAAATTGGCTTTTCCTTTAAGATACGCCTCCGTAATCTCGTTGAGAGAGCCGCCTCAGCTTCTTATCTCTGTCTGTCTCTTTATCTCTCTGTCTTTCTTTCTCTCTGTCTCTTTCATTCTGTCTCTGTACCTCTCTCTCTCTCTCTCTCTCTCTCTCTCTCTCTCTCTCTCTCTCTCTCTCTCTCTCTCTCTCTCTCTCTCTCTCTCTCTCTCTCACAGCTTCTTATCTCTTTTTTGTCTCTCCCTCTATCCTCACCCCTCTTTCTCCTCGTATCTCTCTTCCAATCCTTCCCCTTCTTTCCGTCCTTCCCCTCTTCCCTCTTTTCCTCTCCTCTTCTCAGGACTCAACCCTCTGCCTCTTCTTCACGTCTCCCCTCTTCTTATCCCTTTCCCCTCGCCTCACCCCTCTCTTCCCCTCTCCCCTCGCCTCGCCTGACACCCCCTCCACCCCTTCTCTCCTAATCACCCCTATGTCAGTTTCTCATAATGAAAGCAATTACACAACACGAACTGCACCGTAACTGACTGGCGCTCTCTCTCTCTCTCTTTCTCTCTACCACACACACACACACACACACATACACACACACACACACGCATCTCTCTTTCTCACGTCTTCATCTCTCTCTCTCTCTCTCTCTCTTCCTCTTTCTTTGCAACAACAATAGGCTTCAGATTGAGGCCCTCCCAGGCTCCTGAAGGCACTGGTGTATGTATCAGGAGCTGTCGGCCCAACACACTGCTTCTTACTCTCTCTCCCACAATATCCAGTTCCATGGTGGTGGCTGATCCTTTTTTTTTTAATAAGCCGGAAGTTTGTGACCAGAGTTCAAACTCTCAAAAGCTCGTAGGGTTAAATTTATCTCCCCTCTCCCTTCCCTACTCTCTCCTCCTCCTCCTCCTTCCCCTCCTCCTTCTTTCCCTCCTCCTTCTTCCTTCCCCCTCCTTCCTCCCTCGCCCTGCCCATCTCCTCCTCCCCATCTCCCCCAACCTCCTTCCCCACCTCCTCCTTCTCTACCTCCTCTCCCCTGCCCATCTTCCCACCCCTTCATCCCCGCCTCCTCCCCACTCCCTACCTTCTTCCCCTACCCATCTCCTCCCCCTGCCTCCCCCTCTCCCCCTACCCCCCTTCTTAACTAGATTCACAGGACATCGTTGAGGATAATTTTCACTTATCTTACTTAACTGGAGGTGTGAGGACGCATTGAACGGATTTCCCTTAAGTTACGACATAAAAGTTGATTTTTAATAGATC